GTGGAATCAGCTGAAGCGTGTATATTGGTTGATGCGACAAATGCTTTCAATGCTGTTAATCGAATGGTGATGCTGCATAACATCCAGCGGCAATGTCCTGAATTTGCACCAATTGCCATCAATATGTACCGAGCTCCAAGTCGCTTGTTTGTCTGTGGGACTGAAATACCATCGGCAGAAGGCACTACCCAGGGTGACAATCTGGCAATGCCCCTATTTGCACTCGCAACACTTCCAATTTTACAGAAACTTAAAGAGCTAAGGAAAGTTATGCAAGTCTGGCTGGCCGACGACGCGTCATCTGTTGGAACACTGATACATCTCAAAACCTGGTGGGATATGATAGTGGCAGAGGGAATTAAATATGGATATCATGTCAACCCCAGCAAATCATGTTTGATAATAAAACATCCATCGAGCATGGAGAGGGCTATGGAAATATTTGGAGAAAGCGGGATCGAGATAAAAATAACTGGACAGAGACATCTTGGAGCGGTTATTGGGTCACAGGAATATAAACGACTTTACATCAATAATTTAGTTGAAGAATGGACCAAAATGATCAACAAATTATCTGATTTTGGTCAATCCCATCCACAAGCAGCATATGCAGCATTCACTCATGGAGTTAGGCACAAAATGACATACTTCATGAGAACAATTGAAGGTCTAGATCAATACTTGCAACCTCTTGACATGCTTATCGATGAGAAACTCATACCGGCTTTATTTGGATGCCCTATTACACCATTAGAGAGAAGAACGGTTGCGCTACCCGTACGATGTGGGGGACTAGGCATACCAGTTTTATCAAAGTTGGCATCAGAGGAGTATAAAACATCCATGGAAGTGACTACCTTACAAGACATTTTTATAACGTACGAAATGCGACGGTTTTCCCGAAATTTCGCCATATTTTCGGACCGCCAAAATTTCGGTCGTCGTAATAGAATCCGTCGCATTATTTTTAGCTTATTCCAATAATTGTGGCTTCGTCGATTCATTTTGTTCTTGAAAAGTTAGCGATATGATGGTGGGACAAATAAACACAATATTCCATGATGAATTTAATGTCAAGTTATACGTTTTAAATTTACAATAAATTACATTTATGTGCTAACATAAACGTCTTATATAGACTAAGTCAAGATAAACAATCAAATACCAAACTCAATAATTGAAACTGAAAGATTCGAGCCGGACCCCTTAGAGGAAGATGACGAAATCGATTTATAAGTTTCATTTTGTTTCAACATGATTTTACCGATTTTTAGAAAATTTTGAATTTCCTTTGTGTCAGAAAACAAAATGATGAAAAATACCCTTATTTTCTGTGACGTCCGAAATGTGACGGTTTTTGTTCAATTTCGCCATATTTTCGGACCGCCCAAATTTCGGTCGTCGCACATTGGTCCGCCACAAAAATGTCTTGTAAGGTAAGTCCTTAGTAAAAGCCATGGCCGGAATTGAAACGGATATAGATCATGATTCCGAGTCGCTGAAAGAAATTCTAAAAGTGAGGGCAAAAAAGCATGAATTAGAATACACGTTAATCTGCAATGAAAGCAGTGATAGATCTACACGTGCAATTAATCAGGCAAGAGAAAAAGGAAGCTCAAGTTGGTTGACTGTCCTACCTCTTAAGTCTTATCGGTTCACATTGAACAAAGGGGAATTCAGGGATAGTCTACTTCTTCGATATAACAAAGACCTTCCACGATTACCTCAATCCTGTGTTTGTGGGGCCAAAATGGACATCAACCATGCTCTAAACTGTCCAAGAGGAGGCTACATCATCATCCGCCACAACTCAGTTAGGGATTTCATAGCCAAACAACTATCAACTGTTTGCAAAGACGTAGAATGTGAGCCCCACCTACAGACTTTAGACGGGGAGACTTTCTCAACAAGTACCACACTAACAGGAGACAATGCCCACCCTGACGTCCGTGCCAGGGGATTCTATCGTCCGGGACAGAACTCCTATTTCGACATAAAGTTTCTCAATCCCAATTCTGAGTCTTATCTCTCATCATCAACAGAAAAAATATACGAGAGAGCTGAGACTCAGAAGCGGAGGTTATACAACGAGAGAATTCTGAATGTAGAACATGGGAGTTTCTGTCCTCTGGTGTACTCTGTCACGGGTGGCAGCGGGCCAGAAGCGAGAACATTCTTTAGATTATTGTGTGAGAAAATAGCATATAAAACTCAACAAAATTATTCAGATGTTGTAAATTTTTTAAGATGTAAACTTTCATTTATTATCAGGAAGCTGGTTCTCCTGTGTATAAGAGGAACCAGATCTTCTGTCAATTCAGTTGACAAAAGTTGTGAAAGCGACTTTGAATTCGCATGCTTTGTATCAAAGCTTAGCTAATTATGAGTCCTATGGACTCAATTAATTGATGATTCAAATCTGGTCGATATACATTGTTGTAAATTATATTGTTATATATTATTCTATTTGTTTTCCAAAAAAAAAAAAAAACTTTATAGAGTTAGAGTTTAATAATCTTACTTAGAGTTAGAGTTTAGTATTCTTTTTTGAGTTAGATTTGTATGAATTTCAACAGTTTCAAGGTTTTTTTTTTTCACTGTTTTTTTGTTTTTGATAATTGCATATTTGATATTGACAAGATTCAAAAAAGTGATAACGTCTTTGTACATGTACTCTGAAATAGTGTTTAAGACCACGAATTAGCAAAATGTCATGTTCCCATGGTAAGAACAAAATAATACACTTGGAGAAGTCGCCTGTCAGTTGTCACAGCGATGTATTGTATACCTTAGTTCCCAAACATTTGTGTGCCATTATATTGAGCACAATTTATTTGAGCCCGAAAAATTTGGGCAGAAAATTTGAACTCATTTGGGCGACCGAAAATTTGGGCACACAAATTCTTCGAAAAATGAACGATTTTCCACTAAAATTTCAGTTAGATATTTGCCTTAGTTCATTATTATTCCTTATTATTCCAGTCATTTTGCTTTCAATTTTAAGCATTTAGGTGGTAGTCTGAGTTGTTTCACATTATGAAATTTACGATCTGCCCAGTAACTACTAAAAAATACAGTGATGATAAATTGTTAAATTGATACCCGCTTGACAGTGATCCGTGAAGTACACGCTCGTTGGATCAACGAACTTTTTGTATATTTAAAAGGGAGGCCAGATGACATAAGGAAAAGGCTTTGAGAAGTCGGGTATAACTGATGCTTGTAGATCAGACTTTACGGTGGATGATAATCCAGTTGCAGATCTTGTTTAAATCTCTAGCTATCCGTACCTCTAGCCATTTGTTTTATTAGTAGCTGTTAGCTATTCCAGTTATTTCTATTCATTTAAATATATTTAAAATATAAGCCTTTTTACTTGGTCAAGCCATGAATGACAGATTAGAAAACTAAAATTTCAAATATTATTTCACTTGGATATGAAGAAAAAGCCATCTTTCTATAGATTTCAGGGCCACAGGCCAAATGCCAAAAGTTTGGTTAGCAAAAAATTTAGCAGACGGAAAAGATTTATGCAATTAATTTGGTCTGCAAAAACTTTGGGCGAGAGGCCCGCTCAAATTTTTTGTCGCCCAAATTTTTGGAAATTAAGGTATGTGATTACTGAATACTGAACATAATATACATATCGCTCTAAGTAGACTTGACAGTTGACAGAGTGTCATTTGAATCTGTGATACATCGAGACAATCAGACAATGTTTAAATAGAATTTCTGTGTTACTTAAATTGGACAAGCCTGATATGGTGACAGGTAGTGATTAGGGTAAATTGTCATGTGGGATGATAAAATATTATTATTACATAGGTTATGCATCTATATTATATTTTAAGTCTAACTCCAATAGCTCCTTATACTATCTATAAGTAAAACTTTTGTTTTAAAAATTCATTCTTGATTCTTTCAGTAAAAACAAAATCAGCATTGCACATGACGTCACGTAACTTTGAAATGTACCCATTGTACCTACCTGCATCTGCAGTATTGCTCGAAGACAGCTTTCTAATGGGGTAATGTGTACTCGCGTGCTAAAAGCATAAAGAAGGCCTGATGTATAACGTGACCCTTCAAATAAAAGCAGTTTTCATCAGACAAACGGCCCTTACCTTACTTGCGATAATTTCGGTCGTGATAATTTAGTTGGTGTTTCCAGTTTACTTTTAAAGTTAAAATTTTGAAAGATGAGTCGAGTCTAGACTATTGCTTGATGATTTCATCAGGCAAGTTGGGTACGTGTTACATTGACGGAACTTCCTGTGACGAGGAATTAAAATTCCGATGCATATCATGACGTTTTAGCATGCCGCTAAATAAACACTCATTACTTATTCTTGGAGAAATATCCCTGTTTAAGATCGCTATTTCGCCACTGTGATTCTTTGACTTACCAATTATTCAGGAATGCACGAAATGCAAGGTATTTGTGGAACCAACCAAGTACGATCCCATTATTGACAAAGTGGAATTATAGACGATTCACAGAATGAAAGGTCGCAATCGGATAAATTAACTTAAAAATGCAGACTGCCGCTACTATACTTTTTTAATCGAACTCCGCTGTTTTCAGTTTTGTAGAATAAGTTTTGAATTGTCAAAAAGTATGGTAAATATTTGCAAGGAAAGGATTTAATAAAAACAATTGAAATTTATTATGAAATTCGTGTAAACCTTGTACTTTATTTCAAGCTCAGTGAGTATTAAGTATCGATGAAACTACATTTAATTAATTTACTAATGAAGTTTTTGTTACAGTAACTGATGATGCTAAAAAGTTTCTACTGCGCAAGAGACTTCGCGCGCTACGTCAAGTTGCAATGTCATCGCTCTTATTTCATCTTAAGATTTCAATTGACAGACGGAAATCTATCCTCCAAAATTCTAATATGTTTTATCGAAAAAATCTTATAATTGGTGCATTACAGATGAAGTAACCGAGTTAATGAGACAATTTTTCGTAAATCAGAGAAAAGTGAAAGATTGACTAAGCTTGTTATAACTCGTGCCTTCAAGCAGCTTGAAATATACAAAACATCATTACACAAAGCTATCGAACGATAATTAACTCAACAATTATCAAAAATTTAACTCAAAAATTGCAAAATTAAAACGAAATATCGAAATCATATAAATAAATCATAGCAACAATGGTTTTAAACAGATTATTAATGTTAACAATTTGTAAAATAAACGTTACAAAAACAATGTATTGAGTAGAACAAATTCTTCTCTTATCTGTAGAAACCGGTCATTTGAAATTATAATTAAAAATAGCTGAGAATATTCTTTTTCGTGAACATCTATAATATCTAACATAAATAACTCTGAACTCTCTTAAAACATCTAATTGATGTCTGAAACCCTAATAATGTTAATTAATTTTCATTTATCTGCAATATTAGCTTACTCATCGCAATTTCGCTTTGTTTTATTAGACTGTTTGCGTTTGTTGTTTCCATGTACGGTACTTCTTTCAGTTTAAAACAGTGAAACGTATTATTCGTCATTTTACCTGAAGAAAATTAACTCAGTCAGTACAAATAGATAACATTTAAAACTAGTCGTTTTAATGCAGTTTAACCTCTTTTCAATACAACTTTCCGTAACCAAACCAAGAAATCTCTCTCTTTTTACAGTAACATATTCCCATTGTTTGTTTGTTCCACGTAACCATTATTCCAAACTATGCTCACCTGCAAACTGTCACATTGTGCATGGTCCTAACAATAGTTCACACGTTTATAAAAAATAGTGCATATAAAATAAGGCATAATGAGACAGGGTTGAAATGCGGCCTTTTGTCGCGCGGAATACCTGATAATAATCAGAGTATGAGGCATGACCGGATTTAGGAAATTATATTCTGTAAGGTTATGTAAGTAGGCGCCCCAAAAGTGTGGGAGTAATTGTGTTTTATCCACCTACCTAGTGCCTACCATATCCTGTTCTAATCTTGATGAGATTATATCTGGAATAACGTTTATCAAGTACGGTCCCCATTCCCCAAGTAATGTTACAAAGAAAGAATAGAAGGTGGTGCCTCTTGTAAACATGTCTTAACGAGAGTTATAGCGTAATCTGGGCCAATGTATAGATAATCAAGTACGAGAGGATCTATTAAATTACAGATGTAGTGTTACTGGAACAAACTTCCTCTGAGAGCTCTTAAACAGTTCTAAGTTTTAGTTTATATAAGAAGAAAGAATTCTATAAGCTAAAGTTTTGTAGATGAATGTTATTTTGGCAAGTTTTTAATGAAGAGTCGAGGGAACTAATCATGTTAATTATGTTAATAATAAAGAAAAGCATAAAGCTGAGGTTTAATATCTGGCTGAAGAAGCTAAAACACGATTAATAGGTTGAACACCCTGTACTAACACTCTACTATTAATATTGCGTGTAGGTATAGCTAGTTTGGGTATCTGTAAATTATTTTATTATTATTATTATATAATTAAGCTATTTTATAGTGTTTCAGCTATCAGTCCCACAGTGAATACATGACGGAATTCCGTTCACAACAGTTTCTTATCGGAAACCCAAAAAAAAACAAAAAGTATGAAATTAGCGGCATTCCGACACCAGAATTCCGTTAAAAACAGGAATTGTAAACGAGACAAATAATCAACTAAATAAAAGTAAACTAACCAATAACACGGTAGTATTAAAAGTAAACTAACCAATAACACGGTAGTATTAAGAGTAAACTAACCAATAACACGGTAGTATTAGGAGTAAACTAACCAATAACACGGTAGTATTAGGAGTAAACTAACCAATAACACGGTAGTATTAGGAGTAAACTAACCAATAACACGGTAGTATTAGAAGTAAACTAACCAATAACACGGTAGTATTAAAAGTAAACTAACCAATAACACGGTAGTATTAGGAGTAAACTAACCAATAACACGGTAGTAAGTAAGAGTAAACTAACCAATAACACGGTAGTATTAAGAGTAAACTAACCAATAACACGGTAGTATTAAAAGTAAACTAACCAATAACACGGTAGTATTAGGAGTAAACTAACCAATAACACGGTAGTATTAAAAGTAAACTAACCAATAACACGGTAGTATTAGGAGTAAACTAACCAATAACACGGTAGTATTAAAAGTAAACTAACCAATAACACGGTAGTATTAAAAGTAAACTAACCAATAACACGGTAGTATTAAAAGTAAACTAACCAATAACACGGTAGTATTAAAAGTAAACTAACCAATAACACGGTAGTATTAAAAGTAAACTAACCAATAACACGGTAGTATTAAAAGTAAACTAACCAATAACACGGTAGTATTAAAAGTAAACTAACCAATAACACGGTAGTATTAAGAGTAAACTAACCAATAACACGGTAGTATTAAAAGTAAACTAACCAATAACACGGTAGTATTAGGAGTAAACTAACCAATAACACGGTAGTATTAGGAGTAAACTAACCAATAACACGGTAGTATTAAAAGTAAACTAACCAATAACACGGTAGTATTAAAAGTAAACTAACCAATAACACGGTAGTATTAAAAGTAAACTAACCAATAACACGGTAGTATTAGGAGTAAACTAACCAATAACACGGTAGTATTAAAAGTAAACTAACCAATAACACGGTAGTATTAGGAGTAAACTAACCAATAACACGGTAGTATTAAAAGTAAACTAACCAATAACACGGTAGTATTAGGAGTAAACTAACCAATAACACGGTAGTATTAGGAGTAAACTAACCAATAACACGGTAGTATTAAAAGTAAACTAACCAATAACACGGTAGTATTAGGAGTAAACTAACCAATAACACGGTAGTATTAAAAGTAAACTAACCAATAACACGGTAGTATTAAAAGTAAACTAACCAATAACACGGTAGTATTAGGAGTAAACTAACCAATAACACGGTAGTATTAAAAGTAAACTAACCAATAACACGGTAGTATTAAAGGTAAACTAACCAATAACACGGTAGTATTAGGAGTAAACTAACCAATAACACGGTAGTATTAGGAGTAAACTAACCAATAACACGGTAGTATTAAAAGTAAACTAACCAATAACACGGTAGTATTAGGAGTAAACTAACCAATAACACGGTAGTATTAGGAGTAAACTAACCAATAACACGGTAGTATTAAAAGTAAACTAACCAATAACACAGTAGTATTAGGAGTAAACTAACCAATAACACGGTAGTATTAGGAGTAAACTAACCAATAACACGGTAGTATTAGGAGTAAACTAACCAATAACACGGTAGTATTAAAAGTAAACTAACCAATAACACGGTAGTATTAAAAGTAAACTAACCAATAACACGGTAGTATTAAAAGTAAACTAACCAATAACACGGTAGTATTAGGAGTAAACTAACCAATAACACGGTAGTATTAAGAGTAAACTAACCAATAACACGGTAGTATTAAAAGTAAACTAACCAATAACACGGTAGTATTAGGAGTAAACTAACCAATAACACGGTAGTATTAGGAGTAAACTAACCAATAACACGGTAGTATTAGGAGTAAACTAACCAATAACACGGTAGTATTAAGAGTAAACTAACCAATAACACGGTAGTATTAAAAGTAAACTAACCAATAACACGGTAGTATTAAGAGTAAACTAACCAATAACACGGTAGTATTAGGAGTAAACTAACCAATAACACGGTAGTATTAAAAGTAAACTAACCAATAACACGGTAGTAAGTAAGAGTAAACTAACCAATAACACGGTAGTAATAGGAGTAAACTAACCAATAACACGGTAGTATTAAGAGTAAACTAACCAATAACACGGTAGTATTAGGAGTAAACTAACCAATAACACGGTAGTATTAAGAGTAAACTAACCAATAACACGGTAGTATTAGGAGTAAACTAACCAATAACACGGTAGTATTAAAAGTAAACTAACCAATAACACGGTAGTATTAGGAGTAAACTAACCAATAACACGGTAGTATTAAAAGTAAACTAACCAATAACACGGTAGTATTAAAGGTAAACTAACCAATAACACGGTAGTATTAGGAGTAAACTAACCAATAACACGGTAGTATTAGGAGTAAACTAACCAATAACACGGTAGTATTTCCCGTTCATAAGCTCAGGTTGTGCAGTACTAGACAGGTAGTAATCAGCGTTCAGTCTGTTTTTCTCATTGTCTCTCAACTCTAACTTATAGCTTACATCACTTCTCCGCTCCTGAATGATATTATGTGTATATTAGTATATTATGTGTATATCATGTACTCTGCGCTGTGGATGACGTCACTGTGTATAAATAATCGTGTTAAAATTATTGCACATTTTTATTATTGCACATTTTTATGACCTCGCGATAAGTTAGATTTATGTGCATGTTTAGGTGAGTTGAAGGGTGAACTTTATGCTGCATCTTCATTGTTGATCGACTGTAACAACACTACAACCTTTGATCCTAAAAACTGGCAAATTTGAAAAAAAAGAAGCAAGAATTTAAAGGCAAGGTAATATTCACGTGATTCTGACAATTTCTGGGTGAGAACAAGTGAGCAGTGCCCAGGTAACACACATTATGTGTGTTACCTGGCCAACAGACTAAGTGCCAAGTTTATAACATATAACTGCTCCCGGAGGTGTTTATAAGGTGTTTATAAGCTCCTTATTTGGAGAGTCTCTCCCGAATAACCGCCTTATAAGGCATCATGTAAAAACACACAACCAGAGGATTTAATTCTAATTCTAATTCTAATATATTATAAACATGAGTACATAGAAGTATTTTATAAAGGAGTCACGCGATTGTCGGGTAATCTCCTTCAAAGATGGGAACTTGAATAAAGCTGTGACTTAACGTTAATTTACAGTGATGTAACAATCTAAATTAGGGGGTGAACATGTGGGTGTAACCCGCATGAAACCTATCAATTATATAATATATATAATAATAAACCTATCAAATATTCCTTCAGCAACTGTCAGCTTGTCAGCTAAAAGCTTTATTTAGTAATTTATACTGGGTGATTTGTAGCGCTCATAAAATTACAACAGTAATAGTAGTATAATACGCATTATTGATAAGTGTCTCAGGGAGGCAAGCACAAATCATTACAGTTTACTGTTTACTGTTTTAAGGGCGATTGTTACAAGTCATGTTTATAACCGTATTTATAAACATAAAACAATATTACGTATCTGGCAGTTGAAAAAACCAATGAAATCTGAGGATATTGATCACATGTTATGTAACAACAGTTATGTTGTCACATGTACATACATACATACAATATACAATATACATACATAACACATGTTATGCAACAACATGTTATGTAACAACAGAGCTTGTCTTAAGCATCTTATCTATAGTCCAGTACATGAACAATCGATAAGAAACAATTTTCGTACAATAATTTGGATTTAAAGGAAGTTTGGCGATGATGTTTTGCTCAATTCATCTCTCCTTACTTATTTTACCATCTCATTCTCTCATCTTCAAGACGGTATTTTGCCATGCATCTCTTCTAAAGAAAATAATTCTTTTCAAGGTCCACTTCTCAACCTGACACTGGATCTTATCAATACTAATAATCAAGCTTATCAATACTAATAATCTCAAGATGTGTGTAAGCCAAAAAATTAAGGTTTTTTACATCGGCCGGTTGTAAGTAGTTTAATTGATCATTTTGTGACCCAAATATAATACTTAAGTGTCTCAAGTACTCTCCCTCTTTCTCGCTCTCGCTCTCTCTCCCATAACAGATTTGCTATATAATTAGGTAATTTGGCAGTAGACCTCCAGATTCCCAAGTATTACTATTAGATACGTGAGGGGCACTCAGAATTAAATTGTGGTCTGTTTGGACTGAGTAACTTCATACGAAAATGTAATGCATGTTTTCGAATATAATAGACGGGTTTATACTTTTGCATTTCAACTGCGACAGCGAAGTCACGGCCGTAGACACGGGTTACTCTGGTGATCACATAATTACATGAACAGCAACTTAATTAGTCCCTTATCACTGTGTTAAAACAGCTGGTACAAATTAAACATATTTAATTCTTACTGATTACAACTCATACAGCTACGCTTTGTCCCTCAAAAGTGTAGGTACCGACTTTTAACTTAAATCAACTTTTTAACTGCAGTCACGTTTTTCTCCACACATTTTATACATGGTATCCCAGCTAAAGATGTGATACATGTCTACTTACTGTGCTATAAACGGCGCCTTACTTCAATTTACACGATCACAGAAAGGTATCAATTATTTTGCATAGCTTTTATTTACTGATATTGCAATTTTAGGGGTAATCTTAAGTTTTAGAAGCACTCTTTTACAGCTTTAAACTCGTTTATACATTTGAAATTTGGCTTAAAAATAAGAACCGTTAATGCCTATTGCCTAATGCCTATTTTAAAATATGTATAGTAAATATAGAAGGCTAATAAATATTCCTTGTTCTCTGACTAAACTTACTGGGTACAAAAAGCCTGGTAAAAAGAGCAGGTTTTCAACAACCTTCACCATCCCATCATCAGATCGGAGTAAATATTCTTTAGAATACTGTTAGTGAGAAGTACTGACCGTTCTTAACCACTTTCTATTTTCCCCCTAGCTACTACCTATAACTAGGTTACTAGGTTACTAGGTTACTAGGTTACTAGGTTACTAGGTTACTAGGTTACTAGGTTACTAGGTTACTAGGTTACTAGGTTACTAGGTTACTGTTAGTGAGAAGTACTGACCGTTCTTAACCACTTCCCCCTAGCTACTACCTATAACTAGGTTACTAGGTTACTAGGTTACTGTTAGTGAGAAGTACTGACCGTTCTTAACCACTTCCCCCTAGCTACTACCTATAACTACATGCCACATAACCATTAACCACACAACACAGTGTTAATTGCAGTATTGATCACGTACACTAAAATCAGATCACGCACAGCTTAAATTACAAGGTTACACGGCCAAGGTTACCAGGTTTCTTAGTAAATTACCACGTTTCCTAGCAGGTTACTAGGTTACCAGGTTACCGTACCAGGTCACCAGGTTGCTTAGTAGGTTACCACGTTTCCTAGCAGGTTACTACTAGGTTACTAGGTTACTAAATACTAGGTTACTAGGCTACTAGGTTATTAGGTTACTAGGTTACCAGGCCAGGTTACTAGGTTACCAGGTTACCAGGCCAGGTTACTAGGTTACCAGGCCAGGTTACCAGGTAACTAGGTTACTAAGTTACCAGGTTACCAGGTTACCAGGTTACTACGTTACTAAATACCAGGTTACCAGGTTACTACGTTACTACGTTACTAAGCAACCAGGTCACCGGTTGCTTAGCTTCGAATAAAGAGCACTCCTAAGTAAGGTGTTAGGTTTAGCTGGAAATACACACTAAATACATTAGATCTGCAAATTTATTATTATTATATAGTGAAATTTACACGGTACAGACAGACTTAGAACGTACATAAAACACTAATTAGAATGTAAAATATGCGCATATTTATACCAAGGGTGTTGGGCTACCATTTTACTCCCCATACTGTGTGCATAATAACGTGACCCTTATTCTAGCGGACAATTTAATCCCCCGGTATTATGCTGTGATATAGACAGCAGCACTGAATGCTCTTATTTACAAGTCCCGGAATAATAAACCCAGACGTTCCTGGAGACGGGGCTGTAACACTCTTAACTTTACAACATTTAATATTAATGAAACTAAATTAATATGTGTATTAGTCCGTAATGTAAAGTTCATTACTTGTAAGTATTTATTTATAATATATTATGTTGTTTACCAGGGCACCTGATTGAGTTACGAGTTCAGTTTTACAGACCTACCTTTCTACAGTACTACTGAGTAGTGACAAATTTACAGGAAAATAGTTTGACAAATTAATTTATCTGGTTGCTAGGTTACAAGGTTACCAGGTTACTTGTCAGGTTACTAGGTAACCTACAGTACAGTACTTGAGTACTGACAAATTTACAAGAGTTTGACAGACAGATGAACTAGCGCAGAACAATGGTATGTTAAGTCTGGGAGTAATTGAGGGGCATAAAATGTAGGATTAAATATGTGAGATATTCAAGAAAAAAAATCTAATAATCAATTAGATTGGAGGAAAAAGTTTAAGAAGACAATGGGTATTTAAACTGTGATAATCCACTGATCATCCTTGTGACGAGTTATAGTTTCAATGCTGAGTAATTGTGGTAGCAATTATAATGTAGTAGCAATTATAATGTGGTAGCAATTATAATGGCTCTAAATGTGCACAAACAGACACTTACAGCCGCGCGTACTGTGCTGTGGAGTGTGGAGTTGAGACAAACAAACAGACATACGAACACACGTACCACAGAGTAGAGACACACAAACAGACATACAAACACACGTACCACAGAGTAGAGACACACAAACAAACATACAAACACACGTACCACAGAGCTGAGAGAGACGAAGAGCTCGAACATGAACTGAGTACTGTACTTTAGTTTACTCCAGTGCAGTAGGGCGGAGATATTGCAGGTCACTATCCTCTTCTTCCCTGTAATAATTACTGGTGAGTAATAATTAATAATTACTGGTGAGTAATAATCAGTAATTACTGGTGAGTAATAATTAATAATTACTGGTGAGTAATAATTAATAATTACTGGTGAGAGAGGTGGTTTATAATCTATAAATAGATTAGTTGGTGAGTCAGAATAGCCGGGATTGCAACCCGTGTTTATGTTTATTATTATGTATAATATTATACCTGATCCTTTAGTATAGCTAAACGACGTAGTTTTCAGTCGGTCAAATTCATTAATTAGTTGCACATGATTACAGTAGATTTCAGGGTGGTTAATGGTTAATAAGGTTATGGGTGCGGTACTGCGGTAATGCCTGCTAGCTGTCTCTTTATTTTTAACTCGGATAAGTTGCAAGGTTTTGTTGTCATCTTCCCTCATCTAGGCTTCCCTCATGTCAACATCAACACGATATCATATCCATGATTCTTTAAATAAAATCTTTAAATAAACTACACGCCGCTCTATTTTAAGACATTGATCTCCGGAACTAACTACGATGCTGTAACCTGTTGACCACAGGAGATGTATTATCTACTGACTAAAGAGTAGTGACGGAAAATCTTCCCGTATTTTAGACGTCGGAATAAATTAGAGACAAAGTGTGAAGTTTCACTGATCCCTATAACGGTACTGTTATACTGTAGTAGGGCAGTAGTACGGTACTTACTGTACCGTACTTCTGCCCTCATTTATCATATTTCTAAATTACATTTCATAATTACATTTCATATGTTACATCATGGGGATGGTGTATTTACTGGGTTCTTATCTTTTATTTGTTAATAATTGAGTAAAATTGGATGGAGTTACGCAATCCATTTTAATTTGCCATTCAACGATAATTCCCATATATTAATATTATTACGCCTATACTATATATTATATACATTATATATACATTATACACGACGTGTTGTAAACTTTCAAAATGAATATCACCAAACTTCTCACGGTCGGTCCAACCCTTTATTATAGCGCACAGAATTACATGTCACTGGAAATCACTCCTCGTCATCCTAGATTCTGGTTATAAGAGAACATAATATTAAGGTTACCAGGTCACTAGGTTACCAGGTCACTAGGTTACCAGGTCACTAGGTTACCAAGTCACTAGGTTACCAGGTCACTAGGTTACCAGGTCACTAGGTGACCAGGTCACTAGGTTACCCGGTCACTAGGTTACCAAGTCACTAGGTTACCAGGTCACTAGGTGACCAGGTCACTAGGTTAACAGGCCACTAGGTTACCAGGTCACTAGGTTACCAGGTCACTAGGTTACCAGGTCACTAGGTTACCAGGTCACTAGTTTAACAGGCCACTATGTTACCAGGTTTAAAGGTAAAATATTACCAAGTTACCAGGTCAAAAGGAAGGTGTGATTCAGCACAGTCCAGAATACAGTCGGTCATGAAACATTGTCTCACTTTACTGCGATGGATGAATAATTTTCATCAAATTATGTATCGAAATTTAATTGCAAGGTGCACCTACATTCCAATCGCACCGACTGTTGCAACTTTCTAGTTTCTACATGTCATACCGCGACCTAAGCAGGGCCTAAATCCTGCTCCAATTGATTATGGAACATCAAAATAAATATATTTAATGGAATGCAGCACCATTTAACCTGCTAATAGGTTTCATGTGGCTCACAGTCCTTTCTGAAAACAGATCGATAAAATATGTGATCTCCAGGTTATCCTACCAACTGTCAAGGGAATCAAACCAAGTATTGAAAATGGTAGGATTAATTAAAACCTCTGCTTCTCACTGCACATTAATCTAAGTGTTTTACACTAGTGGCGAGAGAAAGACGTATTGCCGGGCTAACTATACACTGTATAGTTAGTGTATAGTTAGTGTATAGTTAGTGTATAGTTAGTGTATAGTTAGTGTATAGTAACTAGTGTATAGTTAGTGTATAGTTAGTGTATAGTTAGTGTATAGTAACTAGTGTATAGTAACTAGTGTATAGTTAGTGTATAGTTAGTGTATCTAGTGAGTGTATAGTTAGTGTATACACTGTGAGAATTATCTATATAATAGTATTCCAGAACATTTCGAACTCAGAAGTGACCGCCTTTACTTCTCGCTAAAGAAAAAGAGCAGGATTGGGAACAGTTCTGATAATTCTAGGTCACATTGCAGTCTGCTTGAACGGCTTCGAGCCTTCATTCGCAGAGAGCTTGCCACACCAGCATGCGTTAACCTCTAATTTTATCATGTGTTTATGCACTGGTGCACGTCACGGTAATATTATATAACGTTTCTAAGGATTCACAATTTGGTTAAACCCATTAATAAGACGACAGAGAAATTATATATGCCGCTGAAAATTTGAAGAAACACAGACTCTTAAAGTGAGGCGTGTAGTGCTGTGAGATGAAATGCTGCTATAATGTTATAATATATAATTAGGAATATCGATGATAGATTGAAAAGTAGCTACTACTTGGAACAGTAAGTACACTTGTACACTACACTGTAAATACAGGCTGTACTCTTATACGTGCTCAATCATTTTAATTCTGTTTGACATTTTGGTCGACTGAAAACATAGCTGTGTCTTACAGGAGGCCTTACAGCGGTGATATGCCTTACAAGTATTACCTCCGTAAGTAACATGTATTATAGTCTGACAGTGCTTAACGAAACTTCGGGAAATAGACAACTTAAATAGCCTTACATAGCATTACATAGCATAACATAGCATTACATAGCCAAAATAGCTTAACTAAGCTTAAGGTATTGAAAAGTATATTTAAGAAAATATTTGCTCACGTTATTTTAAAACATTTTTGCTAAAGAATGTTGGCACCCATGTCGCGCACATAAAAATCAAGGATGAACTAGATAAGTTACATTACTTTAAGTCCTTATCTGACTGGACCAATCTCACAAAGCTACAACCATCTCACTTCTCATTTTCTAATTTCAGGGCTAACACTTCAAATCGTACTTGTCGAGTCTGACGAAACTGTTGCTCGGTAAAATAAAATACTGCAAAGACTGTGGTTAAACACGTTCTGAAGAAATTACCATTTCATTGGAAGTTGAGCATGGTAAACGTGACCCCGGGGAAACCCTGTGTATTTCCTAACAATGAGACACGTGGGTAGATGACCGGCAGCCTGCCGGTATAAAGCCGGTATAAAGCCGGTATAAAGCCGGTAGCCTGCCGGTAGAAAACCAGAGTTCTGATAAAAGGAAAGTAACACTCAGAATTATGAGTTTTTAAGGCTGGTACGTGTGGTAGAGACAGTGGTCATGGTTACAGTAGTCATGGTTACAGTCGTCATGGTTACAGTAGTCATGGTTACAGTGGTCATGGTTACAGTGGTCATGGTTACAGTAGTCATGGTTACAGTAGTCATGGTTACAGTAGTCATGGTTACAGTAGTCATGGTTACAGTAGTCATGGTTACAGTAGTCATGGTTACAGTAGTCATGGTTACAGTAGTCATGGTGACAGTAGTCATGGTTACAGTAGTCATGATTACAGTAGTCATGGTTACAGTGGTCATGGTTACAGTGGTCATGGTTACAGTGGTCATGGTTACAGAATACAGTGGTCATGGTTACAGTGGTCATGGTTACAGTAGTCATGCTTACAGTAGTCATGGTTACAGTAGTCATGATTCCAGTAGTCATGGTTACAGTAGTCATGGTTCCAGTGGTCATGGTTACAGTGGTCATGGTTACAGTGGTCATGGTTACAGTGGTCATGGTTACAGTAGTCATGGTTACAGTAGTCATGGTTACAGTAGTCATGGTTACAGTAGTCATGGTTACAGTAGTCATGGTTACAGTAGTCATGGTTACAGTAGTCATTGTTCAGTAGTCATGGTTACAGTGGTCATGGTTACAGTGGTCATGGTTACAGTAGTCATGGTTACAGTAGTCTTGGTTACAGTAGTCATGATTCCAGTAGTCATGGTTACAGTGGTCATGGTTACAGTGGTCATGGTTACAGTGGTCATGGTTACAGTGGTCATGGTTACAGTGGTCATGGTTACAGTAGTCATGGTTACAGTAGTCATGGTTACAGTAGTCATGGTTACAGTAGTCATGGTTACAGTAGTCATGGTTACAGTAGTCATGGTTACAGTAGTCATGGTTCAGTAGTCATGGTTACAGTGGTCATGGTTACAGTGGTCATGGTTACAGTGGTCATGGTTACAGTAGTCATGGTTACAGTAGTCATGGTTCAGTAGTCATGGTTCAGTAGTCATGGTTACAGTGGTCATGGTTACAGTGGTCATGGTTACAGTAGTCATGGTTACAGTAGTCATGGTTACAGTAGTCATGGTTACAGTAGTCATGGTTACAGTAGTCATGGTTACAAGACAGTTAGTCACGCTCCTTTTATAACCTTTGTAATTTCCTCTGTCCTGGTGTGAATACTCTTTTCTACCCGCTTATCATCGCCCGCGTGTGAACTGGCTGTGATTTATTTTTTCTGACAAATAACTCTTCTGAAAACAGTTGTAGGGCGTCTCGGCAGAGCGACAATATATGTTAAATATTTTTGAATATTCTGAAGTCAATTGGCTTACAAAATGCGAATATGTTTTGTCAAACAATTGTTCTTCGGTGGCTTCTCTCTCTCTCTCACGTTTAATTTTAAAAGAGTTTTCCGGTGAAAAGGTTTAACTTTTAAATTAGAGAATTATAAGGTGTCACCGTAGCCCCTTGTAAATTCATTTCTACAGACACAAAGGAGTGTAAGCCGCATGATAACTGCAGCACACCTACACAATACACATGTCAACTCTAGCTTTTATTGCTCGCCACGTTGGAAGATGATAGATGTGCAGCACATGCACATATGAAAATATTGGTAGAGCGTATATCATTATAGTTTTACTATTATATACATGTAAGGCAGCAATTAATATCATAATTACAATTACAATTGCCAACGTAACATATAAACCAGCAATTACAATTGTCATTAATACCATTTGCT